TATATAATATCTATAAGCCATAAGGTATATCTGTTATAGACTTCCATTGATTCTGTCACAAATCTGCTTAAGCACGATATGAATGTAATAATTTAACCGACTCATGGTAAATAAAAAATTGCAAACTTTTAAAAACATTCTATGGATCTGATAAATGTATGTTATCTTATATTGATTGTCTTTTGCTACAAATGTTGCACGCTATTAATCAAAATATATATTTATGTCGCATATTATATACTAATTTATAAAGACGTAGGTATCCATTCAGATGTATACGCAAGGTAATCTCTAGAACTACAAGTCGGATTTGAAAAATTCTTTTTGCATTTCATATCCCAATTCTCAAGGAAGATAAAATTTAAAATTTAAAATGACAAGTCACCTAGTAATGCTGATCATTTGTAATTTTCTCAGTCATTTTGTATAATACTAAGCGTAAAGCACCATATGAATGGAATTAAATACTATTCTACAAATTGTTTGATTGTGGATAAACTTGAGACGGTTTAGGGGCATAATTTTATAATTGGTAGTAGTAAGGTACCTACAACTAGTTCAGCCACTGGCGTCCAAGTCTAATTAATCAAGGGATCACCAAATGGAGGGCAGAAGACGAAATTTATTTTTTTATTTTTTTTTTTTTGTGGGAATAATTAAATGAGGTTTTCATTAATTTTCATTCTATTTTTTGATATTTCTTTTACTTTTTTTGGGTAAACATGCGTACATTAAGTTGTTATGGCCCCCTAAAACTTCCTGAATTCTTAAAGACGTGATTAATAAATTGGCACTCTAGAAATATTAATTTTTGATCCCTGACCTAACCGATGCTTATTGACGGTAGAGCGTATGATGTTATTATTCACTATCACTATTATTAATCTATAGGTACATAGCGATAGGGTACTCGAAGTGGCCTAGTCAATCCATTGGGCTATCCAGTATCCAATTATAGAATAAAAATTGTTGAATTTATCTCATTCTGCCAGGTGCGGTGTGCATGAGGAATTCGAAAACTAGTAGGGGTTATAGTTGCGCAATATGGCCTATGAGACAAGTATCGATGTTAATATTTTTGTTTTATTTTATTTTAAGCACATATACCTATAATCGTTATTATAACTCGGTCATTGGCGTTCCGTCATTAACCACCAAAAAAATATAGGTTTAATAACTATAGTTATCGTGGTTGGTGTTTAATTTACGGTTTATTTATTTCCGGTGTGTTATAAGTCTGATTTACTTTATTTTTTTAACGTCTTCCAGACTCACTCGACGCTACTGCTGCACAGATTATATTCGGTTTGATCAGTGGCGTCATTTCGGTTTTTATTAGACTAAGGAAACTTTTCACTGCTTTTCCAACTCAACATTTTTTTCACTCAGATTCTCATAGCCTAGTGTCATAGTGGTAAATGGTTGGTGGGGGGTATGGTAAATTTGCAGACTTAAGGTTGATGTAAATACTAGACTGGGGCAAATGCAATTTATTTTATATATGGCATACTTTCATATTATTATACTTATAAAGGACACAGCTATTCCATCGAACACAAATTAACAGATAATTGACATATTGTATCGTCGAGCACGGAGACTCGCGCCCCTCAACCCACCAACGCAGAATATCAGGATCAAGTGGTCTACATAAAGTGGAACACGGAAATAATGAGTTTATTAAGTTTCGGAAAATGTATATATAATATATCTTTTGTGTGTGTCGTTATAACTAATTATATGACTCAGTGCACATAATATGCTACTGACTAATCTTCGATATTTACTTTTTTCCGAAGTTTAAACATTAGGTACCTATTCAAGTTTAATTAGTAACAAAAAAAATCTTATAATATTTTATCATTTAAATATAATGTAGCAAAGGTGTCAGGTATGAGTGTATATTATATATTATTGTAAAATCAGTAGAGTTACTATTATTCTTGTTGAAACCTTTGAAAAATATGTCACCCGGAAGTAACACCAGTGTCCATTAATCGAGCGTGAAATAACTCACATCAAATCAAATTAATATATTGATTCGTTTTTATTATTATTAAAAGCTTTTGACGTGGCTAACTTAGTTATTTAAAAACTATGGTATAATTCATTTATTTTTTTTTTAAACTTGATTCAACCAAGTAGAAATATTATTCATAACTTGGCCAGTCTTCATCAGTATTGCTGCAGAGTACCGACGGTGGTAATGCAGACACACTACAAAATAATATAATAATATTACTATTCTTTTTATCGTAATTTAATGTGACACGGTGTGGGGAAAAATTGTAACTCTAAACAGCTGATGTATACGAAGGTGTTGTATATTATATTATAGTTTATACCTAGGTGTATGGATGATTTTTTGACTAAATAATAATAATTGGATGGACGTCACTCAAAACCGGTATAAAACTGCAAAATCCGTTCGGACTGTATTGTTGTAAGGACTGGAGACAATCAAATTACCAGAACGTCACGAAAGAGCTTATTTATAATGTTTTCAACCCTTAGCCGCTCCGGTAAACGCCACAATGTCAACAGCGTTTGACAAATCGTTATAGACAAGTTAACGCTACCGTGTGAAAATCATTATAGTAAAACGTAAAATACTTCTAGAAAATTAACAAGTATTGGAATTATACACGTTCATTGGTGAATGAAACAAATTTTTTTCTTCAAAATTATGTTTTAGAACATTCAGAAAAATATACAATTTTAATTTAAATCCAAGCCATGCCTAGTAATAAGGTAAACGGATAACTATACTGGTTCGATATTGGATTTTTATACATTGACATTTTCGGGAAAATATTGTGCTTCGGAAATATAAATAACCATTGTATATTGTTATAAAAAAAATTAATCAATAAAAATGGAAAAATTCTGTTTTTTAAAAAAAATACTTCATATAGGTAATGTATAAAGCTTCAAAATATTTGAAAATTAGAAGTTTTAATAGATAATATTTTAACATAATATGAAATCATTTTACTAAACAGCATTTTTAACTTTATAATTTTAAGTTTTTACCATTTTAAATTTTATATGAAAGCATATATTTTGAAAATTAGATTAAATAGAATATTGTTTTAAGAATATCAATTTAAAAATGAATCGGATGAATTCGTAGTAAATTAGTTATAAGTTTTTAAGTAACAATGTGGGAATAGGGGACCCAAAAAATGTTGGTCATTCGAAATTAGAATGTTTTAGTTTCTGAGCGTAGATTTATATTTATAATGAAGTGATGTGTCATAAACATTTATGGTAGTAAAAATAATCTGATTTTTGACATCAGCATCATCTCTGATAGAAAAGTGATTATAATTAGTGCATTCTTTTGGTAAAAAATAAAAATTCTCAATAATTTTTGAAAGCGTTGGGAAAAACAAAAAAATAAATAAATAAATAATGGGACTTTTTACAAAAACCCATTTTTAAAAAAATCGATTTTATTTTTTTGAGTATAACTCAAAAACTAATAACCGTATACACTTGAAATTGTCACCAAATATTTATATTAGCATTTTCCATGTATGGTAAACAACTTTTTGAGCAATTTATAGCTTTGAGTAATTTTTGGAATTTTGTAAATTTTTTTAAATTTATTGTTGATAAAACTTTTTTACTTAGTAAAAAAGCTTGAAAATTTAATGCAAGGGTCTTCATAAATTGCTTTAATAAGAGCTTAAAAATATTAAAGATACATCTATACGATTTTTTTATAGGCATTTAAATTTCAAATTTTAACAAAGTTCATCCAAGTCCCAAAAATTTGCAAATAATTTTAGAAATTAATAAAAATTTTATAGCTAACATTAGAAATTTTAGTAGAAGATTCCGAAAAAGTTTTTCTACGTTTATCAAAAATAAATAGTTTACGGGACACTGGACAGTATCATTCATAATTTATCAGCATTTGATTTTAAATTGTTTACCATTTTTGAAATTCAGTGGTTTTTATATTTAATTATTTATACAACTCTACAACTAGTAAATACTGTACAGCATGGCAATACCCACTTGTCCCACTTTTTATACAATGAAATTCTCAGAAAAATATTCTGCATTGGAACGATATGCAATTAAATATTAATTATATTTATAACGCTTCCCAGGAATCCCATGAAAATAAAACAGTTAATAAATGATTTTTTTGACATTTTGATTTTTTTTACGTGATACATATCGAGTACACAGAAATCTAAAATTTCAATTTCCAAATGGGATCGGATGTCAAGATATTATAATAGTATAAGGCTAACAATACCAAGACTAGGTTAAAACATCTTCACAAAAATCATTCCTTAACAAGATAATTTTTATCGTCTTTTAATTTGTTAAAATATATTTATATTTGATATCAATATGATTTTGCTACATTTATTGCTATCTTCAACTGTTGTCATATTAAAAATCACCATATGATTATCTATATATTATACATATTATGCAAATATGATAGGTAATAGATATCTTTCGAAAACACCACACAAAGATAGTTAAACTTTAACTATATTTTTCTCAATATCCCTAATAAAAACCTGACTGTTCTTTTTTCATTTTATTTACCTGATTTACCAATATGCATATTAGCATATTTTAAGTACTTAATTTGCTTATATGTACATAGGTATTTTATTTTTAATAGCCAGAATAGATACTCAATACATCATTTTATTCACTATAAAATAAAAAATATAAAAAATGATTACAAATTGATTATAATTCACTCAAGTGAGATGAGGTAGATTTATTTTGATAAAATTTCATAAAAAAAATATGTAAGAAATGTAAGCCCATGTCCAGAGCTACTGAAGTTATACTCTCGAGTTAGGTTAACAAGTTAAAAGTAAAGCATTGAATAATATTTAAACTCTAGAATTTAAATTAACACAAATGTAAATATTGATAACAACACATTTTTGTAAAATAACATTTACATTTTTCCACTAAATATATATAACGATTAATGACTAATATAGTTTACACTTTACCTTATAAGAACCGAGGTCATCTACTATGCACACTATTGTTGCTTCTCTGCCAACCGGAGCCGTAACATTTGTTATCGGTTCAGCGAATTTGGGCATTTCTGAAAAAAAATGAATTAATAAATTATTATAATACACTATCATAAGTAAATTCTTTTTGTATTGTTTTAAATAATATGTTATATTCATTTTCATGTTATTTTTTAGATTCTGACTTCTGAGGGGAGCAAATGTATTGATTATACAATGATGTGTTTTTTCTTGTGTCTATAAACACTTTTTATAGTAGAAAAAACGCTTCAATTGTCAGCTAGATCAAAAGTAAAATATTCCTGGTACCTAGTTTTCTAGAGTTGCAAAAAAAAAAAATAAAGGACAATTTGTGTAGTTTTACACAAAACCAGTTTATGACAAAATGTTCTTTTTGGTGACCTAACTCAAAAACTAATATATGATTGTAGTCTTTAGCAAAAGGTTAATTTTCTTATTTTCTATACTTTATAAAATGTTTACTCTTTTTGAGTTATTTATAAACATTAATGTTGATATTTCTGATTTTTTTTTTTTTTTAGTTTTTACTACTGATGTAGGTATCATCATGTATATAAAAAATGTCCACTCTGTCAAAATCTTAAAAACTTAAAACAAAGTTCCTTATAATATTTATGATAGCTATTTAAATGTATTAAAGATATTATATTATGATATGCAAGATTTTTACAATATTTTGAAGTTAAAATTTTGACTAAATTCTTCATATTACGAAAATTTGCAAATTATTTTGTAGTCAAAAATGTATAAATTATTTAATTTTTATAGTTAAGACTTCATTAATTACCTAGTTAAAAATTGAGTAAAAACTCCTAGTAAGTTAGACATCATATAAAATTCTAAACAATATACATGTGTCATGCACAATTTTTTTTTGTAGACATACGTTGTTCAAATTTGGATGACATTATATATTTAATCTAAGCTACTATACAGAGATCGGGTACCCAGTTGTTCACATTTTTTTTTTGAGGCTATATATGTATATGCTTCGGTAGCTGGACCATTGGCCATTTTCATATAATAACGTTTTGAAATACTCTTCGCACTTAATCGTATTTTATGTTTACAAGATAATTAATAATCTATTATGCATTTAAAGGAAAAACAACCCTTTAAAATGCTTTCTAAGTTTATATGATAATAGCAACATAATATATTTTTTCAATGTACGAGAAGATATCATAAAAATGTTTTAAATTTATTTCAGATGACATAACTCAATATAATATTAAAACGATTTATCTAAGCCGTCACAAGAGATGGTTGCATCCAAGAAGATTGAAGAACGAATAGATTATGAGAATTGAGAAAAGCATAACTTGATGGATACGGTCTATATTTACGTAAAATACAGTATTATTGTACTACAAATTGGTAATTTATATCATTGTGCCATTTTTTTTATGAGTAGCATGCCCATAGAGAATAATTGATTTATGGATATTGTTGAACTGATTAAAAAATGATTTATAAATATATAGATGAAAATTTCATATAAACTTTGGTCAATCTCTTACAGTGATAATAATATAATGACAATGTATTTATACAATTAATACGTCATTGTGGATAATTATTGGAAAAAAAAAGCAACTAAAAGCTTCAATACGACGATTTTTACGATTTAATGTGCAATATTTATTATTCTGTTTACATACCTATTTAACCTATTTAACCTATTTAATAATTGCAATCCATCTTCAAAATGTATATAGATTCTTATTTTTAATTTATAATTATAGGTAGGTATATGTATGCTTTTTTTGTATAAAATAAATAATTTTTTATAATTTATGATGCAAATTGTTGTTATGAAAATAGGTTGTTACTAGGTTAGGATGTACAGACTATTTTTAAGTATGCATATGATAATAAAATATTATATTCCTATAATATAGAAGAAATTACCGTATGGGTTATATAGATATATTAAAGTACGATATTATATAACAATTATTTCGAGATTTCATAAATCATTTGCTTCAATTATAAATTTAATTTTCACACCATTTTCCCATTATCAAAAATTTATATCACATTCAGAAATCAGAATTCATAAAATTGATTCAGTTATAAAACACACATGACTACACAATACATTACAGTAATATACATACATCACGTGAATCGACGGTCAAACTATTAAACTTTAATATTTTAGCCATTAAACTGTATTAAAGTAATATAGGTTGTTATGTTATTTAAACGTAATGTTACTCCCATTTTGGTTACAAAAACAAATCGTATTATGATAAATGTATGACATTACTATATTATGTTACCTATGCGATAATATAGGTAGCGAAAAAGGAAAATAATATTGAAACAATTGTAAATAATGTATAGCTTATACAAAATACTCGTCCCAACAGTAACAAGTATAGGTATTTAGGTACTATATTGAATCAGAAGGTGATCAAAATACATTCGATCAAGCACTTCTTATCAAAAAGCTGAAAAATATAAACTCGCAAGACCATACTATCGAACACCACGTCATCTCACTCAACCTGGATTACTCATTCAGACCTGGCCAACAACAAAATAAAGGTTAAAGATCTAATTAAATGTTTAAAACAAATCTATCCAATGAACCAAATATAAAAAATACTCTTTAAACTTGAGAACTTTGTTGTACAACCAAATGAAAAGAAAATCTTCGTGTAACCAACATAATATAATATGTAAATAGTAAATACTAAATATACTTAATATTATGTAACTATAGCGGTCAGAGCAGTCGAAGTTAAATCTCACCAAAAAAAAAAAAAAAATGTATATTATGCCTTTCGGAAGCTATCATATTATTATTATGGATAGCAGACAACAGAAAGTGAAGGTACTGAAGAGGATCAGTGGATCATTAACAAAACGTGCAATACTATTATTATTATTATTATTACTATTTTTATTGAATAGAAACTTATCTGGATATAAATATTGGGTAATCGGAAAAAATATCCCCCTAAAAAAATCCCCAAAGCAACTACTTATTTTAAATTATACTATACAGTAGCATAAATACCTGTATTATAATACCTAAATACAAAAATATATAAAAATAATAATACGTAACAATTATGGCCCGCTTTTAAATACTCTAAGAATTATCCAAATATGTCCTAAAAAAACATTTTGACATCAATAATGTCCTTAATAATGACCCAACAATTGTTTAAACAATTATTAAGCAAACAAAATTGCTAAAAATGCAACATAAAAGTTATGTTTTCAATTATCAGATGTATGAAACAGATTTTGCACTTGAAAAGCATTTCCTGCAAACCCTGCAGGTTAGTCCTGTGGGACTAACTTCCACTCAAACCTGGGCCCTTAGCAATGTAATAATAATAATAATATTGTCAGTCAATACCTATAAGAAAAAGTTAGATCTCGCTTGCAGAAGTTGTTGGCAAAATCCGATGGTTAATATTATAATATCGTTAAATTAAAATAAATAACAGCAATTTTTTTTAGGCCAGATCATTATAAATTGTTTATTATGTTTTCTGTATGTTATACAAACCCGACAAATGTTTCAAATAAAAATAAAATAAATGTCGGGGTTGTGATTGGTATTTAAACTTTAACAGACTTATTATACACTATGTCATTATCTCACCTGATTGAACTGGTATGGCCATCAGTTCAATAAATAATGAAACCTATTCCTGTAACTGCTAGGTATATACTAATAACACATAATAAGGGAATAAAATTCAATTTTATGCCATCATATCGGTTTAAAATTAATTTCTAACAAAGTTTGCAATACCAACATTGTTACCTATACGTAATATTACCAATTTAATTAGTCAATTTAGTAAGTTTCTGACATGGTTGTTAATTTCTTCCATTTTAAATTTCTTTAAACTTCTCTGTGGTAGGTACGTTGCCAAAGTTTAATAAATTTTTGGAGTAATTAAAACTCACTAAAAAGCTTGCTATAAATATTATTATATTTTTCTTCATTCTTCTTATAAGTACATACATGGGTAGGCGTGTATGTGTGTGTGTATGAGTGTGTTATATACAATGTAACTTTTACGACGTTACAAAGAAGGGTAACACAGCAAGTAAACAATGGAACGTCGAGAGAATGTTTTTGTCATACTAACCCCTCTAATATTTTCGTCAGCATGCGGAAAGTCATTGTTATAAATTGCCTTTTGTTCAATTGATTCAAAGAATAATATTTAATACGTTGAAATATATTACAACTTATAAGTATTATAAGCATTAAACTATACCTACTGGTGATAAATATAATAAGACGCTTATTGTACATTAAATGTTTAGTTATTAAAACTGTTAAAATTATTGTGTCAAACATGCAGATAGTATTTAAAATATTATAATATGGTTCATAATATGGTTATGTGAGTGGTTAAATCATTGACGCAGCAACAATATAATTAAGGATTCTTTAATAAATTATGGCGTATAAAATAAATTTGAATATCTGTTGTTTATTAAGGTTTGAAAAGAAATTTAGCATATTATTATTATTATTTATATTTATAAATATAAATAAGTATATTGATTTTAGTTATTCTAAACTAAATTTAAGTTTAAACTTAAGGGGCCCGGTGTCAGTTTTTCAAATTTTCCGAAATTCATTAAAATTTTATATTTTAGTTTCCACCTCAATTATAATAATTTTCTACTAATCTACTACCCCATACCTATTTAGTGGTTGGGAGTTGATATGGTGTATTATATGGAAAAAAAATTTTTATTATTTTTTATTAATGAGATCTTAACATAAAATTATAATATTACAAGATCACTGGAATAACTTTCAGAATTTGTAGAATTGTCGGGTTTTGATAACTATTTTTTTATCTGAAAGAAGAAGACTTCCTATAGCCCGGCATCGATCTGTGATTTTGTGATTTTCAAATACTTGTATTAAAAAATTTGTAAAAAACGCTCTTTACCTTGTATTTTTTTAGACATATTATAAAGTTTGAGAATAAAATATTTAAAATAGAGATCGATACGGGCTGTAGAATATTTCTCTCTAGCAATTAAAAAGAAATTAT